CACCTGCGGACCCAGGTGCGCATCTGCGGAATCCACTTAACCGCTCAAGAATCGCACCTGCGATCGAAATCCCGCACCTGCGCTATCGCATGTGCGCTCGTACCTCCGCATCTGCGGTTCCAATCTTCCTCAACCTTGGCCGCATCTGCGACCCTCCTTGCGCTTCTGCGGTTATGACAGAAGCTTCAGCAGCTTCACCTGCAAATTTCCAACTCCAAACTTCCCGTCAACCACCCGAAATCATCCCGAGGCCCCCGGGACCTCAACCAAAAGTATGAACAGGTCATATACCACTATTCAAACTCATACCAATCTTCGAAAACACTTAAAACAACATCGAATCATCAAAACACCCTCGGATTCAAGCCTAAGGTTTCCAAAACTTCCAAATTCCGCTTTCGATCAAAAAGTCTATCAAACCTCATCCGAATGACCTGAAATTTTGCACACACGTCCCAAATGACACAGCGGACCTACTCCAATTTCCGGAGTTCCATTCCGACCCCGATATCAAAATTTCCAATGCCGACCGAAAAATGCCAAATTTCAATTTCGCCAATTCAAGCCTAAACCTTCCACAGACATCCAAAATACATTCCGATCGCGCTCATAAGTCCCAAATCACTTAACGGAGCTAACCAAATCATAAAAAATCCAAATCCAAGATCATATACTCAAAAGTCAAAACTTGGTCAAACCTTTCAAATTTAAAGCTTCAAACTGAGAATTGTTCTTCCAAATCTATTCCGATCATCCTGAAAACCAAAACCAACGATTTACATAAGTCATAATACATCATACGGGGCTAGTCATGCCCGAGGACTGGCGAGCGAAGTAACGACAGGTCGGGTCGTTACATAATTATATAAGTCCAATATATATGAATTAAATAAATAAGTCCAAATTCATTGAGCTAGCCCATTTAATTGGCCTACGAATGATGAGCTCGCTTTATTAAGTCCAAGATATAATCTTCCTAGAGGCCCAATTTGGTGCCATGTGTCAAATGACGTGGCATGCTAAGTCAAGCGGAAGAGCCAATAGGATCATGCCACGTGTCAAAATGACAAGGCATGCCAAGTCACATTAAAAGGCTAATGAAATCGCGCCACGTGTGCAAGTGACATATTCTAGCCAATCAAATGCGACCTTGTCACTCTTCAATCTGATTAGTCGGAAAGAGTTTGTTCTTATCATAACTCTTCCCTCCCACAACTATAAATAGGGGTCTTCATAACCCAGAAAAGATACCAGAGGATATAACAAGAAGCAAGAAAGAGCTCGTGGATCAAACGCTGCAAATTCCTCCACAAGTTTCAAGCTTCACGCAATCAAGTTCAAGAAATCAAGTTCAAGCTCAAGAACGAAGAGCAAATCAAGGTTCAAGGAGTACGAGTTCAAATCAAAGTTCGTGCTAGTTGAATTCAAGATCATCGTTCGTGGCAACAAATATAGATTCAAGATCAAGCTCGAAAGCCTGAATTTATTTACTATTGCAAAGAAGAATCAGAGGATTCGTAGAGATTGTAACGCTCAAATATCTGAAATCAATTACTACGATTGTTGCGATATTTTTCGGTCTTGAATTTATTTTCTCAACGCAATTTATCGTCTACAATTTAAATCACGATTATTCGATGAATCTTGAATTCTCCTAGAGGGCTCTTTGCTTTATTGATACTCCTTAATTCTTTATTTACAACTGATAATTTATGTACGATTAACATTAGCTCATATAGTTAATATATTGATGTTCTTATTTTCACTTATTTTTTGCTATTATGATTTGTCTTTTTCTTCTAGACTTTTGTCTTGTTTTATGTCAGCTTATCGCCATGTTCAATTCTTGACTTCTTTGCTTTTCACTTTCTGGTTATACTTATTTTAACAGAATTTAAAAATATTAATAAAATTAATTTAACAAAAAAGTATACTAATGAGAGTAAATTAATTAAACTGTTACTTCTTATATTTTTTGTTAACAAGTTAAGAGAAACGTGCAAAACAAAAAAAATTAAAATAGGTGAATTAAGTGTAATATTGCCACAAGAGAAGTTAGAGTTAGAGACAAAACAAAAGAGAAGTTAACGTTACGAGACAAAACATGGAGAGAGGTCTATGAAATGCTGTGACACAGTTACCCACCAAAACAAAATTATTTACCTTTGTCTATCAATTTATTTTTTTACCCATAAACTAATTATATTTCCTACCCATAGTAATTTTTGTGGGGAATTTTTTTCTTTATTCTCCAATTCTTTTTTATTTCTATGTTTCTTTTCTTTTTTTTTCTTTTTTTTTCTTTTCTCCTTTTCTTTTTTCTCGTTTTCTTCTTATTTTTTTCTTTTTTCCTTTTCTAATTTGATTTAACTTCTTTTTTTATATTCTTTTTCTCTTCATAATCTAATTTCATTTACTGTTTTCACTATTTTTTATTATTCTTTTTTTCATACTATTACTAAAGAAAAATCAAATTGTGTACCGATTTAATGTAGCTAATACAACCAAAAATTAACTAACACATAATACCAGTATAGTATATAGCTATACCAACAGGGTATATAATTCTACGTAAAGAGGTAAAATTAATTTAATTCAATTATTAAATTAAAATAATATCAGTTGTCAATAAAAATTTCAAAAAATTCTAAAAGGATCTAATTGTAAGAGTATACCATTAAATACTATAATATTTTATTTATTTTTTTGCATTTTCAGTTTGCCCCTCACGCTGGGTAAAAGCTTAAAGCAAATTAAAAGGGAAAAGGCAAGTGAATTTACGTGTAATAAGTATACTATTATAGTATATTGTATACTATTACAACATACTGTTACAGTATATTGCATATTATACAGTATACTATAACAATATATTGTATACTATAATAGTATACTATTGCAGTATAACTATATACTCCTATAGTATATTTTAGACTGTAGCGGTATACTGTTAGGTAACTATGTTCTTATTCGATTATTACAATATACCGTTGCAGTATATTGTAAACTATAATAATATACTGTTGCAGTATAGCTATATACTCCTACAGCATATGTATACCGTAGAGGTATACTGTAGCTGTGTTCTTTTTCGATTTTCAACTGAAAATTTCGATCTCAATCACCTCAAATCAGCTCCAAATGCTATCAAATTTCAGTATGAACTTCCAGAAGGTACTATAAGCAATATTTAACAACACCCACTTTGAATCAAACAAGAAATCTTCAAAATAAGAATTTTAAATTCAAGGGCCAAGGCAAGAGCAAGAGCTAGGGAAAGAACAATAAAAAAAAGTGGAGCAGAGTTGAAACTAGCTAGAGGTCAACTTCTCAGATAATCAGATCTAATTTCTTTTTGAAGAAGGATATAAGGGAAATGGAAGAGTTTGTCCAAGTCTTCTTCACGGAGGCGAACTTTATCCAAGTCATTGACATCTGGGTGTGTCAAAAGGAAGAGTTTGTGTGCAAGAACTAGCTGGGGTTGTTGTGTTCCTTCTTCCGCATCCATGGCTACCCTTTTCTTTGCTATTTCTTGTTTTTTTTTGTTTCACTGTATTTCAGATTATTTCTTGTGGAAGAGTTTATACAAAGTTAATAACCGGGTAAATAGTTTTGGGCGCATGATTAGGAGTAGTAAATAGTTTGGGCCTGGGCATTAAAGGGTAAATAGTTTGGAATTGATGGGTATAAAGTGAGATTTTTTTTCTTTTAAGAAGGGGGAGCATTATGGGGAAAGCAAACGGGTCTGGGTACTGAATCTCGATTGTTTGAAAATAAAACGGGTTAATTTCATGGTTTTCAATTTAGGGATTTTTTCATTCCTATACACTATTGGGAACTTTATTACTCTAAATGTTCATGTTTAGCAAATTACCCTACCTACACAAGTTTTGTTTACAAAATATATACATTCCACCTTAAAAGGCACCCAATCCATTATTTGTGGCTTCAATAAGGGATTTAGTTACACCCTTTCCTTCTTTCTCTCCTCTCTCCCTTCCTCTCTCTCTCTCTCTCTCCTTCTCTCCACATTGCCCCATGAGGCTGTTTGCATAGAGAACCTCTCTCCATGGCTAATGTTGCTTCCTTGCCGAGATAAAGCTGGGCTTTCTGCATTGATGGATAGACCTTCTATCAACAGAGGATTTTATCACTCTCAGAGATTGCATTTGGTCTCGAATGAATTTGATCTAGCCGAAGCAAGTTATGGAATTGTGCTTGAACAGACACTTACCGTTGCTCTTCAACCGGTTACTTTAGGAAGTGGCATGACATCATCTGTTGGCTCAATACGACAGCCAAGTTGGTCATTGAGCTCGTTGTTTGGACGAAAAGTTAGTGGAAGGTGTGTTCTTTCAAATACTAGTAATGTGTATGTCCAATTAGAGCCGAATTTGGTGTCAGAATTGAAGAGTACTTCAGCTATGCAACAACAATCTGATGTTAAGAATTTGATATCTCAAGCTTGGAGTGACATGAGCTTTGAAATATCATACCAGTTAAAAATAATTTTTATAATAATTTTATACAATATGTCTTTTGTATATTTTGTATCTGATTTATACATAGTAAAAACAAATTTCATACAACTAATTATATATTATACAATTTATCTACAACTTATCTTCAATTTTTATACATTATTTCTACCCAGTTAAATACAACTACAATAACATACAACTTAAATACAAATTTTATACAATATTGTTCAACTCTCATATAATACAACTCTTTTATATATATANGAGCTTTTTTCTTCTATTTTTCCCCCCTCTCTATGCTAATGACAATGGTTGCCATGCCGAAGTAATGTGATAGTACTCTGTTGTCTGGATTCTGTATGTGTTTTGTTAGCTTTGAATATGAATTTAGAGGTCTGAAGTGTTCTTTTACTATTTATCGAAAAAAAGGGTTTGGGAGGGGGGTGGGGGTGGGGTCATGTGACTGTTTACTTTCTATTACTTTGTATAATGATGAAGTGTAGTTTCAGTGAGGTTTTATGTTTTGGCAGATGGAGGAGGGCAAGATGTCCGAGAATCATTTGACTTCAGCGGCAGCATTTGTGGAGGGCGGTATTCAGGATGCTTGTGAAGATACTTGCAGCATATGCCTTGAAGCATTTTGTGAAAGTGATCCCTCAACGGTATGTTTTGTTTCGTACTGTCCCTTGTCACTGTGGAATGCACTGAGATGGACTTCATTCCAAATAATCAAATCTTTTTTATGTGTAGGTGACTGGTTGCAAGCATGAGTTTCATCTTCAATGTATTCTTGAATGGTATGATATATTTTGTGCTATTTGATTAATACTTATGTTTGAACTACTTGGTTTTTAGTCGAATGCGGTATCGCATTCTGTAGAAGATAATCAGATCTGGAGATGGGTAGCTGCCTTAGGGTCTGTTTTTTTTTCTAATCTAATTGCTGGAAAGCTGACGTTGCAGCTCTTTGTTAGGACTTTACTGCAACGTGTTTCTCTTTCCATCCTAATTCAGTTAAATAGTGCAGTGACGAAGAGAACAAAGTTTGAATGGGTTGCCATGTCCGAGTATATCAGATGTACTAATAACAGTTTGGAGATAATGAAAAGTGGGTAAAGGTATCATATTAATATATTTTCAAAATAGCTATATAATAATCTGAAACTGTTAAGAGTTTGAATTTTTTGTGTGCAAGTAACAGGACCCACTCCTCAGAGTTGGTTGATACTTGAATGTACATCGAATAAAATGGGATACGTATCAGTAGGTTGCTGAAGTCCCATGATCAGGAACTATACCAAAAACATGTGGAACTTGTAGGACATATTAAAAGACTTTTTTTTCTATTTACTTGCACTGTTGGCGTTAAGAGAGGGCTTGTTTTGATAAATAGGCAAAATCTAGGCTGGCTATACACCACCAGCTTTTATAAATTTGACATTGTCTCAATGTATTATGCGTGAAATTAAATTCTTCAAGTTATTTATGAGAAAGAGGATGTAAAGTATTGTAGGTGCAAGTAAAAATGTTATAGAGCTTTCAAAGTGCTGCATTCTTTAATTTCATTTTTCTTTAATTTTTTTGATGTTGGTGGTGTCCGGGTCCATTTGCTCGCACCTCAATTAATCCACAAAGCAACCTGTCTTGCGCACGGGCACATGTTGTCAAGGTAATCCTGCTCACCAAACATAGAGTGGATGAGCTCATATCTAGTGTTGTAGTTGGGATTTGAATCTGGAATCTCCAGGTTGTTGCTCTCATATCTTAATACTAGGCCACCCCATAGAGATGTTGTTGCTTTATCGCAACTCATAATGAGTTGAGGCTTGCCCAATTTCGCCAAGATTAGAGAGGTCCAATGGACCCCGCAATTACTAAGCCTAACGTCCACATCCAACCACTAGGTGGATATAAGACTTGGCTGTCAACTATGCCATGGTGAGTTTGAGCTTAAAGTCCAGCAGAAGGTTCATTAGTTTATCAAATTCAGATTGTGAGGCCTTTTTACAAAGCAAGTAAATTTATTAACGGGGGAATTTCCCCCATGCTAGTAAACCAAAAAATAGAGAACCTATAATAAAATATGGCTTTTCACAGAGTACACCCAATCTCCCATACAAATTAGGACTCCATGAGTGTACATTAAAAAAAACTAGAAACCATAAGCTATTGCTCATATGTAAAAGATCTATATATAAACTATGAAAGTTCTCCTATTCATGTCCTACTATAGGACCCATATTAGAGCTAGTATAGAAACGCATACCTTGCATCTTCTCTTCCTTCTCCGAAGGTTCAGCTGTGTAGGCTTTTTTCACTTTGTTCGCTGTACTCCATGCCAGGTATCATCCATTGTGTTCTAACCCAATTCAACACTACCCATCTCAACCGCGTGGCAACCTTGTAATGTAACAGTAGGTGGTTAACAGCTTCACGTGAGCAATTGCACATGAAATACCAGCTAATATAACTGCAGTATTTTGAACGTGGTTTCTTCACTACTGTTTTTTCTTTTCAAACTTGCTTTATTTTTTCCCTTTCACCCGAGGGTCTATCGGAAACAGCCTCTCTACGTCACACAAGGTAGGGGAAAGGTCTGTGTATACACTACCTTCCCCAGACCTCACTTGTGGGATTACACTATGTTGTTGTTGTATACCAGCTAATATAAGTAAACCTCTTCTTTCTCATGTTCTCGGCTGTTACATTTGCTTCCCTTGCTGCCAACCTGCCACTTAAGCAAAGAAATACCATTTCTTGGTGCTCTAGATATCCAACCATTAAGTGTGGAAAGATCAATTCTTCCCTTGTGAGCGGCATATGATAATAGGACTTAACCAAGAAGAATCATCTCTTCTTCCCCGCCTCTCCTCGTTCCATCCATGAGTCCCAACTATTTTAAATAAACTGTTTTGTTAAGAATCTCTAATAGGCTTTGGTATTTTATCATCTTCTAATCTTGCAAATTCCTCCTAATTTCAAGATATAGAAAACTTCTTATGTTCCCTGAAGTTGTTGTAATGTATCTCTGTGGATTGGCAATCTATAACCTTAGGGAAGGTGAATCTTAAGGCTTTATCTCCAAACCACCAATTAGACAAATTCTTTTATTACCCTAATTTTGAATGCAATATTGCAGTTGAAATCCTCCCGCTCCTTCATGATGCTCCTCCATAAGCTACATTCAAAGGACAAAAGTGATATTTCTAGTCCTTCACCTGTCCACAATTCCATACTTTAAGCTATCATCTTCCTCAAGTAGGTCTTCTCCTCAGTTTCTAATCTTCACAATCGTTTTTCCAACATGTCTTGTTGAACACACTAAGATCCCCCTTATCAGAAACACTCTAAGGTCTCCTTACCCCAAGTCCTCCTTCCTTTTTCGGGAAGTAACGATCTCCTGGTTGACTAGATGGTGCCTCTTGGTCCTATCTACTGCATTCTATAGAAAATTCCTCTAGAGTCTCAAGTTTTCCAGAATCATTAGTCGGTGCTTGGGTTAGTGGCATGTAGTATGTGGGCATACTGAATAATGTGCTCTTAATTGACATTTCCTTTCCTCCTTCTCCTCTTCTTTTTTTTCCTCGTCCCCCTAGCCCCCTCAAATCTTTTGCTCTCTTAGTCTACCCAAATGTCGTTCATGATTTCCTTATCTTCACTTCTACCCTCTCAAAAAGCTCCCTATTCGACACCCTTATGTTCCCTTTCAGCATTTTGAGTTTCTTTGTTAGTGAGAATGAGGTCCTTAATAACTCGACCAATCCGCCACTCTATCTTCAAAGTTTGCCACTTTTAGTCATTTCTCAAACACGGTGTTCCAGGGTAGGGGTAAAGCTACGTACATCTTACCTACCCTAGACCCACTTGTGGGATATCACTGGGTTTGTTATTGTTGTCATCCAGCATGGTGGATAAGTGGTCCACGATCAACTTAGGCAATGGAACTTGCAACAAATTCGGCCATTCCTTTATGTGGTCGACACAAAGAATTTGTCAAACCTTGACTTGTATGTTGACTCCTCTTACCTTATTCATGTAAACTTAGACCCCGTCAAATGAAGACCAATAACTGGTGGTTATTGATGAATTCCGAGAACCTTTCAATTGTTTGTACATTGTTCTGCACTACCGTTTCCTTCGAAAACCTAATAATATCAAGTCCAGTCACCAACACTTAGAGTGTCTCTCATCTTGCCAAAGTGATCGATAACTCATTTCAAAGTCTCTCCTTAGAACCCTCCCATACCCGCCCAAACTCTCTCTCTCAAAATTCCAGTCTAGCCTACTCTGTGATGCAGGGTAGCTAGTATAAGCTCTTCTTTCCTTACTTCCACGGCCTCTAACTTCCTCACATCCAATAGGAGTAATATGCCTCCCGCACTCTCATTAGGCGGGCAGTGTCATGCTTAACCCACCTTCCGTCGCACTTTTTGCCAATGTGTTCGCCACGAGCTCCACGTCGTCCCCGAAAGCACACTAAGTTTGCCTCCATTCTCATACTCCCACCTTAATGATTGACCCTTTTGTTTGAGTTATTCATCTCCGAGATATGATCTTAACATCAATGAATCACTATTTTTCCTTTACCTCTATGTAACAACCGCTGGTGATTGAACTTGAAAGGGAGTTCGCTATGAAGCTTGTCTTAGGCGAATCCTACTTCTGAACGAGATGGGAAAGTTAAGGGCCATATGAGGACAAGTTTAGGATTCAACCGGTGAGGTGTCTTTTTGGGTACAAGGGAGGCAAATCGTGAGGCCCAAAAGCCTTGAGGTGGCACAAAGGTTTTATGCCAAAGCAAACAATACCTTGGTAGTTGCGCTTGAGACGTTGATAGGCGGTATCAGAGTCGGTACCTCCCTTAGTACGGGGGTGGAGCAAACTGCAGCAAGGACGTTGAATCCCTTAATGAAGTGTAACAGCTCACGGACCGGTTGTTGAACTTCAAAGGAGGTTTGTTGTGAAACTTGCCTTAAGCAAAATTCACATTAGAATGGGAGGGGAAAGTTAGGGGAAATATAAGGGCGAGATCAGGATTCAATCATTGAGGCGCCTTTTGGGTTGTTTTCTCTGGGGGGACAAACCGTGAAGCCTAAAAGCCTTCCAGTTGTTTAGAGGGGTCGAGTCAAAGTGGACAATATCTTGGCAGCTTGGCCTAGATGATATACTTTATCTTCCTCCTTCATTCCCACCCTCCCCTTACCAGGTCCTGAGTTGCTAAAATAGAAGATATGAAAGATAAGAAAACTCTAAATAGGAAGAGCTTATCGCTTCATAAGTCGGTTAAAGCTACTCCCAGAAAATAAACCTTCTACCTTATAGAGAAGTGTGTCCACTCAAACCTGTCAAAAAAGGGGGAAAGAAGTGTACCAACTGTCGACGGTAATGATGACTGTGTCCTTCTTCTTTATATTCATGCAACTTTAAGGTAGTGCTTTTGCTACAGGAGTATGTTTGATGGGTATAGCACGCAGATCTTGTTTAATTTGCCTACCAGCTTTCTTTTTGTATTCATCCGCATATGCTCCTATTAATGTGTTCCTAGAGGAAATTTTCAATGGCAGTCACAAATATACTTCTGTTTCTATCAAACAGTTGAAATTATAGACTATACTATAAGTAGAAAGTTGAAAGCATGTTTAATTTTCTCTCTAGAGATCTAATGCATTTAAGTTGACATTTAAGGTTTATTAAGAAGCAGGTATTAGGAATCTTAATCCATCAAAAAATCAGTTAGCAGGTAAGAGAACTATTAATTTTGAGATGCGGAAGAAGAAGGCTTTTTAACAGTTCGTTATTTCATAAAAATTAGTTGTCGGTGTGTTCCCCCTGATTATATTTTGGTTTTCCTACCAGTGAGACCCAGAAGCATGGATATAACTTTAGCTGGTGTCAATAACATTGTGCATGATAGTTGATGTTTCGCAGGTGTCAGAGAAGTTCTCAATGCCCCATGTGTTGGCAGGCCCTCTCCTTAAAAGATCCCAACAGGTTGCATCCTTATATGTTACATCTCTCGCTCATTTATCTCTTGTATAGTCTTGTTTCCAATGATGTGACCATTGTTCTTGTATTTGCAGCCAAGAATTGCTGGATGCAGTTGAGCACGAGAGAAATATCAGGATGAATCCTCCTCGAAATACCACTATCTTTCACCATCCAACTTTGGGAGATTTTGAATTACAGCATGTTAGCATTCTCCATTGTCCATGACTTCAACTTCTTGGTGGTGTTTACCATCAGTTAGAGACAGAAGATATCATTTCTTTTCTTCTTATTCCTTTTTATTATAATTCATATTTTTAATGTTTTACAGTTACCAGTGAGTGCAACTGATTCAGAACTAGAAGAACGTATCATTCAGCACCTAGCTGCCGCTGCTGCTATGGGAAGGGCCCGCCACCTTGCCAGGAGGGACGGTCAGAGGGGGAGGTCTTCTGCTCAAGGTCGTCCACAGTTTCTGGTATTCTCCACTCACCCAAATTCACCACCTGCTGGCCCCGCTACCTCTCCAACTCTGATGACTGGTGGTGAATCCGCTTCTCCCGCATCGGTTTCTGCTTCGACTTCTCCAATTGTTTCAGTTGGTGAAGGTTCACGGCTATTTACTACGCCTCCTGTTCAAGCCGATCTGGTTTCTGCATCTGGATCAGGATCAAGTGCTGTTATTAATCATCTTGGAACTTCTTCAAACAATAGGTGATTATGATTCTCAAGTTTGGCTTTACAACTGCATTTTTATTTTATTTTTATTTTTGGCTCCCAGCATAGTAAATTATTTGTGTTCAATGAGTTGTGTTTTTTTGCCTATTCGAAATTGCTCGTCTTGTAGAAGGTCTCCTTCACAGTCTTCTCCTAATAATCAAGAGAGAGCTGGACCATCGGATCTTCAGTCTCTTTCAGAATCAATTAAATCTCGATTTGCTGCAATGTCGCTGAGGTAGTAAGATACATTATTTATAGTTCTGTATGAATCCTTTGATATCTCATTTACCAATGCGGACCTGGGTCTTGTTTGATTGATTGTTTTCTTTGCAATCATTAAGGTATAAAGAGTCTATAACTAAGAGCACAAGAGGTTGGAAGGAGAGATTTTTCTCCCGCAACAGTTCAACATCAGATCATGGTGCTGAAGCTCGGCATGAGGTTAATACTGGGACTGCTTTCATACCACATGTGGAACATTCGGAAACTACAGAGGGTAACAGAAATAGTTCTCCCGAATCAAACAGATCTGAAGGCAGTTTACCAGCTCAGCATGCTGACCAGCAGATTTCAGAGATGGGTCGTGATTCTTCTTTGACTGAGGGTAATGGGCAATCCATATGTGCTGCTAGTTCTGGTTCAAACTAAGTTTGGATGAAGCACTCTTAACAAGCCATGGTAATGGTAAGTTTTGTCTTAGCTATCCCATATTTCTGTGTAGAAGCAGAACCTGTCTTTGACCTTCTCTTTTGCTCTATATGCTAATATATGCGTGTGAGCATTTGGAGGGGGGGGGGGGGGCAACTATTTGTAGAATGTGCATGTGAGATTTCATCCGCCATTTAAGATCAACAATAACTGGCATGAAGTAGTTTAGTAGTGCTCCAAAACCAAGAAAACATCCGTCCTTCCCATGATTGGTGATGGCTGATGAGTGGCTCCGAGGCTCTTACATATATGATTTACTCTCGGGAGTCTGAACGTGATGTTACTACATTGTCATGGATATATTTATTAGATTCTTATTGCAAAAAGTAATATGACAACATTGTTTCATAGGGATGGAGTCATTCCATTAATACTATCATGGAGAGCTAGAACGACTGATTCGGGGCTAGAGATACAATGCTTCATAGCTTACATTCTTTAACATTTTTAAAGTTGTGCCACATTGAGATTATAATGGCTCTAGATGGATTATTGAACTTCTACTGTTTCTATTTTTCTCGTTAAGTACTTGCTATAAAAAACAATACAAATTGCACATTGAGCTTTCTACGCATAAGGCGCGTGGACCAAAGGCAATGGTTCTCCATACTTTTTGCGTCCTTGAATTTGTTAATATCTCATAGTTGAAGTTACTTTCCTACTCCAATTTCTTCTTCTTTTTTTTTAAAAAGAAAGATACTTTGTATTCTTTATTTATTAAAAAAAAAAAAGCTATTTTGTATGCTTTATGTATATTATAGATCGATTTCCTGCAAGTTGTTTCTAGGTAATCATTCAACTCTGCAAGTTGTCTCCGGTGGTGGATATCGATTTGCCACTACCAGTTTTTTTAATTTCTATGAAAACACTAGATGAATTACATTTTGATTATATAGCTTCACAGAAGAAATCGTCTTTGAAATGTGTTATAAGCTGCAGAGGTATTAAGCACCTTGCCTAAACTAAATCGGGATACATTGCAATTTATATTGTCAAAGATTCTTAATATATCCTAGTTGCGTACAACATAGAAATTCCAGAACAAGATAAATATTGATGAGAGAAACTTGGGTCCTAATTTTCTGCTGTATGTCTGTTATCATTCATAAGCTTAAACTATATCGATAATTTGTTCCTCCCTGGACACAGCATTTAATGGTTTAATTAGTTAAGAATGTTAGAGTTTAGTGATCAGTTATAAATGTCAAACCTTTTTCAAAGATCTGGCAGCACAATGCAAGTTGCATGAGGTGTTTGTTGTTGTTATTTATCAGGGGGGAAAATTAGGTTTCTGTTTTTGTTGTGACATAGCAATATGCATCAGAATTGAATTGACCATGTTGTTTCTTATATAATCCTTTACTTTGGGTTTAGAAAGGAGAAAGTGAGAGAGACTCTATTTGTAGTGATTAGACTTTAGATTGTGCACGAATGATATGTTAGAGCTCTGATATAACTCTGTTTGTCTTCGTGTTATGTTGTGCTTTGCTAATTGTCCAACGATACAATCTTGGTAATATGTTTGTTTATACATTTAACAAGTTATGTATGGGAGTCCGGAACCCAATTGTTGTTTTTTTGGACTAGTGTAAAAAAAAGAAGTTACCTTTCTATATATAACGTCAAAATACAAGACGCTATACCTTAACGGTAACTTTTGCCGTTAAGGTATAGCGTTTGTATTTGAACGCTATATAGCCTGACGATTGGATTGACATATATAGCGTTCTAAATTTATACGCTATACATATAGCGTACAGAAAAAAGACGCTATAACCAAAAAATTGCTCTTTTCCCCTTTTTTGCCACCCTTTATGATTACTTGCTGACACGGCATGTGTCTGAATTTTCTTTTGGGGATTTGTGAATATTCTCAAATTTTCTGTTTGTGAAAATTACTATAAAGTGGTTGTTAGTTTGATTAAAATCTGTGTACCCATATATTATCCTCCACTTTGTAAAATAAATATATATCACATACTTTACATCAACCAAATATTGTAATTTGTAAATGATCCCAGACAATTATTTTCTAAAAGGTAGACAGATTTTTGTGTAAAATATTTTTTATGAAAGATGTTTTTATCCATACCAAAAACTCTCCTAATATACAAACATCTTTCATAAAAAATATTTTTTATGAAAGATGTTTTTATCCATACCAAAAAAGTGAATCTTATTCACAAAGAGCTTTGCTCGTGAAATCCAACATTATAAAATTTAAGAAAAAGCATATACAGAAACTAAGAGGGAGAAATATATAAATCTATAAACGCTCTGTTTGAATCATGCAAAAATGATTACAATCATTAATCGTGTAGAGAGGGTTTTAAATCGGCTGCTCTGTTCTTCACATTATTAGTTCATGTATCTTTTTTTCTTTTTTTAAAAAAAAAATTCTAATTCTTCTCCTTTCTAGGCAGAAACAAACAAAACAATAAATTTCTAGAATTCTACGGAGATGTGTTGCCTCTCTTGCTAATGCACTTCATTATCCAAAAGGTTGCTTCATCTGTTTGGGGGGTGTGAGAATGCACGGGAGAAAATATATTATTGATGTATTGACATATGTTACAATGAGCCCTATATATATACACACATAACATGTCCTACTCCTAATATATATTGGATTAGGGTTATTTATTTACTCCTATTTACATGACTATTCTAACACTCCCCCTCAAGCTGGTGCATATAAATCATTTGTACCGAGCTTGTTACATATGTAGTTAATACGAGGACCAGTGAGGGACTTGGTGAAACTATCTGCAAGCTGATCATTCGACTTCACAAACTTTGTAGCAATATCTCCCGAGAGTATCTTTTCTCTAACAAAGTGACAGTCAATCTCAATGTGTTTAGTTCTCTCATGGAACACTGGATTTGACGCAATATGAAGAGCAACTTGATTATCACACACAAGTCCCATCTGACTAATCTCACCAAATTTCAACTCCTTGAGCAACTGTTTGATCCAAATTAGCTCACATGTCGCCATAGCCATCGCTCGATATTCTGCTTCTGCACTAGACCGAGCAACCACATTCTGTTTCTTGCTCTTCCAGGACACCAAATTTCCTCCTACCAAGACACAATATCCAGACGTAGAACGTCTATCAGAAGGTGATCCTGCCCAATCAGCATCTGAGTATCCAACGATCTGCTCATGGCCTCGACCCTCAAACAATAAACCTTTGCCTGGAGCTGATTTTATATACCGAAGAATGCGAACAACTGCATCCCAATGACTATCACACGGAGAATCCATAAACTGACTCACAACACTCACAGAAAAGGAAATATCAGGTCTTGTCACTGTAAGGTAATTTAATTTACCAACCAACCGTCTATATCTTGCAGGATCGCTAAGAGGCTCCCCCTGTCCTGGCATAAGTTTAGAATTCGGATCCATCGGAGTGTCAACCGGTCTACAACCTGTCATTCCTGTCTCTTCAAGAATATCTAAGGCATACTTTCGTTGTGAGATCACAACACCTGAGCTAGACTGAGCGACCTCAATACCCAGAAAATACTTTAGTTTGCCCAGATCCTTAGTCTGAAAGTGTTGCAAGAGATGTTGCTTCAATTTAGTAATACCATCCTGGTCATTGCCAGTAATAACAATGTCGTCAACATAGACCACCAGATAAATACAGAGACTCGAGGCAGAATGCCGATAGAATACAGAGTGATCAGCTTCACTCTGAATCATGCCAAATTCTCGAATAACTGTGCTGAACTTACCAAACCAGGCTCGAGGAGACTGCTTTAGACCATAAAGTGACCGACGCAAGCGACATACAAGGCCACGAGACTCCCCCTGAGCAACAACTCCATATAAACTTCATCCTCAAGGTCACCGTGTAAAAAAGCATTCTTAATGTCCAGCTGATAGAGGGGCCAATGGCGAACAGCAGCCATGGATAGAAAAAGGCGGACTGATGCTATCTTAGCCACAGGAGAGAAGGTATCACTGTAATCGAGCCCAAATATCTGAGTATATCCTTTGGCAACAAGACGAGCCTTAAGACGATCAACCTTACCATCCGGACCAACCTTGACTGCATACACCCAACGACAACCAACAGTAGATTTACCTGAAGGAAGAGGGACGAGCTCCCAAGTACCACTCGTATGTAAAGCAGACATCTCGTCAATCATAGCCTGTCGCCATCCTGGATGAGACAATGCTTCACCTGTAGACTTAGGGATGGAAACAGAGGACAAAGAAGATAGAAAAGCATAATAGGGTGATGACAAACGATGATAACTCAAACCGACATAATGGGGATTAGGATTAAGGGTGGCCCGTATACCTTTCCGAAGTGCAATCGGTTGATTAAGAGGAGACAAGTCCGCAGTATTAGCAGGGTCAGGTGCAGGACGTGAATCAGCTGGACCCGATGCTGGGTGCGGACGACGATGATATGTCAAAAGTGGTGTTCCTGTGGCAGGGAGTCTAGGAGGAGCCACACTAGACTCCTCAACGGCTGGAATGGATAAGTCTTCTATAGCGGAAGGTGAAGGAGGAGCTATAGGAGACTCGGGGTAAGACTTCTGTGGCGGAAGGTGAAGGAGGAGCTATAGTAGACTCCTTAAAGGTCGGTATAGGTAAGACCTCAGATATATCAAGGGGGTCAGAAAGGTCAGAAGAGATAAAGAAAGGTTTAGACTCAAAAAATGTGACGTCAGATGACATAAAGTACCTACGAAGATCAAGTGAGTAACAACGATATCCCTTCTGAACACGAGAATAACCAAGGAAGACACACTTGAGAGCACGAGGAGCTAACTTATCTTTCCCAGGGGCTAGGTTATGAACGAAACAAGTGCTCCAAAAAACACGAGGGGGAACAGAGTATACGGGTGATTGGGAAAACAATACTGCATACGGTATCTGATTCTGGATGGGAGAGGAAGGCATCCGATTAACTAAATAACATGCTGTGAGAACTGCATCGCCCCAAAAACGCAGCGGAACATGAGATTCAATGAGAAGTGTGCGAGCAGTCTCAATGATGTGCCTATTCTTTCTCTCTGCAACCCCATTTTGCTGAGGGGTATAAGGACAAGAGGTCTGATGAATAATTCCTTGAGAAGTCATAAACTGCTGAAATTGAGAGGATAAATATTCTAAGGCATTATCAGCGCGAAAAGTGCGAATAGAAACACCAAATTGATTTTTAATTTCAGCACAAAAATTCTGGAATATAGAAAACAACTCAGAACGATCTTTCATTAAGAAAATCCAAGTACATCTTGAATGATCATCAATAAAACTAACAAAATAACGAAATCCCAAGGTTGAACTGACTCTACTAGGACCCCATATATCAGAGTGAACTAAAGAAAAAATAGACTCTGCGTGACTCTCAATACTACGAGGATAGGAGGCTCGGGTATGTTTCCCGAGCTGACATGACTCACACTCTAATGTGGATAAACTAGACAAACCAGGCACCATCTTCTGAAGCTTGGATAAGCTTGGATGTCCTAAACGTCTATGAATTAGGTCCGGAGGATCTGTAACTAGACATGCCTTGGAGGATTTTAGGGAGTTAAGGTAGTAAAGCCCTTCTGATTCAAGTCCTGTTCCAATCGTTTGCCCTGTACTGCGGTCCTGCATAATAAAAGAATCATCAATAAAATATATACCACAATGGAGGGCACGAGTCAAACGACTAACAGATGCAAGATTAAAAGGACAGCCAGGGACATAGAGAACGGAATCTAGAGTGACAGAGGGTAGGGGATTCGTTTGTCCAACTCCTTTTGCTTTGGTTTGAGACCCATTGGCTAAAGTAACAGTGGGAAGAGACTGTGAATACGCAATATTTGACAAAAGTGATTTATTACCAGAGATATGATCAGAAGCGGCTGAGTCCACAACCCATTGTCCGGGAGGACTAGACTGGGAAACACAAGCAAAAGAATTACCAGCAACAGAAGTATTAGTCTGAGCAACAGAAGCTACTTGTGGAGATGTCTTCTTACTTGCTCGATACTGAAGGAACTCATTATACTCCCCTTCAGATAAAGAAAATCCCTGGTTACCTGTAGTCTCAGTCTGAGCAACATAAGCATTTTTGGTTGGGCGGCCATGTAAAGAATGGCATACATCACGAGTGTGTCCAAGTTTATGACAATAAGAGCACTTGGGTCTAGATCTTCCAAAACGACCTCCTCCTCGTCTATTCTCCATAGTATGAGATGCCCGATTGTCCACTGATTGGGATACGAGGACAGAGGAGTCAATTGTCTGTGATGAGCTCACTGGGTGACTAGGTACTGCAGCAAGGCGAAGTAATCGAGAGAATAATTCATCAACTGTGGGGACGGTTGGACTAGCCAAAATCTGGTCACGTACTGAATCAAGGTCATTAGGGAGTCCAGCGAGTGTAAGAACTAGAAACTATCTTCTGTCGTTGCTCTTGTTGTTTTTCAATACTAGCAGAAACTGGCATCAACGTCTCAAATTCTTCCATGACTGTCTGAACTTGTCCCAAGTAAGTAGACATATCTAATTCCTGTTTCTTCAAGCTTGTCATTCGCGATATTACATCATAGAAACGAGATATGTCATTAGTGTATAGATTACGAGCCTTTTCCCAAACTAAATAACATGTCTGGAATGGACGGAAAAAGGGCATCAACTTGGAATCAATAGATCGCCACAGGATACTACATAACTGAGCATCGACCTTCTCCCACTGTGTTTTGGCCTTTTCATCACCTTCGCTAGCCTTTTTTGTTAAATGATCTTGAACTCCTTGACCTTTACACCACAACTCGACAGATGAAGCCCAATCTAAGTAGTTTGAACCTCCCATTAAAGGTTCTGAGGTAATCATAACACCGGAACTGCCAGAACCCGGGTTTCTAGACCCGAAAGCATCGACTCCCAAAGACATGGTTGGATTATCACCAAATAACAAAAAGAATCAACTGAAAATTCTCTGAAACAGATGAAGAAAACACTGTGTTTGCCGGAAGAGTACTGTAGCTGCCGGAAAAATCAGTGTAGTCGCCGGAAAAACTCAAAGTGGTCGGAATTGAAAAATAAAATTATGGGTAGGCTTGGAATTTGAGGGCGATCCAACTGCCCTGAAGGAACTTCGTCAAAAAATGGCCGGAAAGTGGTGCACGCGCCGGCGCGTGGGCTCACGCGCGTGAGCTTCTGGTGGCGCGTGGAGGCGCGTGGGGTACTGTTTGCCGGAGATTTTTTGTGGGGTTTGGTCGCCGGACAGTGGCGACTCTTGTGGTAGTGTTGGATTTTGCACAACACTGACAGAGACAAAGCAGACGCAAACAGGCTTGAAAAAGTCGCCGGAAAAAGGGTTCCGGTGACTGATTTCTCTTCCCGGAATCGCTGGAATTTATGCACAGCGATAAACCTCTCACAATTGCTCTGATACCATGTGAGAATGCACGGGAGAAAATATATTATTGATGTATTGACATATGTTACAATGAGCCCTATATATATACACACATAACATGTCCTACTCCTAATATATATTGGATTAGGGTTATTTATTTACTCCTATTTACATGACTATTCTAACAGGGGGAAAGTGAGTTGTCTTGTCAACTTCCTTGGTTATAGCGTTTTTTTTTCTGTACGCTATATGTATAGCGTATAAATCTAGAACGCTATATATGTCAGTCCAATCGTCAGGCTATATAACGTTCAAATACAAGACGCTATACCTTAACGGCAAAAGTTACCGTTAAGGTATAGCGTCTTGTATTTTGACGTTATATATAGAAAGGTAACTTTTTTTTTTACACTTATTAATGTACTTTGAGTCCAAAAAAACAACAATTGGGTTCCGGGTCCTTATGTATGGGGTCCTTTTGATACATATTTAACGCACGTACTATCTAGGTGTATGTATCTTGTCTACTGGTACAATATTTTTTGATAGGTCGACTATTCATTGATTCGCTAATTAGCTTTTGAAAGATGTGTTTGGTAAAATAGGCTGCTTTTAAAGTCGGAATAAATTGTACTATAGTAATACAGAGCAGATGGCTGTTTGTTGGCATCTTGTCAGGATTAACTAGTGGTTTTAGCTTGCTTTTGACGGGTAGCTAGTTCTATCATAAGTTGATAGAAAGGCGAAAAACAATAATTTTAGGTAATTTCGAGGTCAGAGTGTCAAAACTTGGTTATTTGATGATTACGAAGAATCTCTACAAGGCTTCTCATGAAAGCATATGCTGCCATAAACCAATAGTCATTGAGAACAGCAGCACTCTTCCACCTTAGGATATTAAGTACTTGTGCCGAAAAACCTAGTTCGTAAGGTCTAGAAGGTATGAACATGAAGCTTTTGGGCCTTGGCTTGTTGTAGGCATCCTCCAAAGAATACACCAGAATTCCCATATATCACTTGGCAAGTGTTGCCAGAGCTCTTCCTTAATTTCTTTTCTGTCCATGTCGTTCTTAATTATAATAATATATTCATTGAGTAATATTTTGTTTGTTAACCTGTATCAGTTTGATCTTACAAAAGATTTTGTGCTTGCAGATGGATAACCCTTGTCAACATCAGCACTGCTGTGAAAGATCATCAGAAACTGTAGTTTGCTGCAAAAGAATAAGAGGGATGGACATCTTTATTTGGGTCAGACTAGTGTATATGATTATATATTATGTAAATTGGTCTAAATTTGAAAATTATTTACAAATGTCTCCTCTCTTTCATGTTAGGTTAGCTACTATGTAACATTTTTTTTCTGACGGCAGAATGAGTTAGACGTTTTGTTGAGTCTATTTTAACATCGAGTAGCTGTTGCACATTCATACTGCATGTTAATCGACGTTTAGCTTGTTAGTTTGACAATCATATTATCATCTTGGTGCCTTGCTTGATTGGTCTTTTGCTGTGCGATTTCCTATTACGTTTTAGAGTGCTTTTCAGTCGGGGAGTTCATATTTTTTGTCACCTTATCTAGTTAAACTAGTGAGGGAGGTCGGACCATTTTTTTTAGTAATGCTTTTCTGAGTTTGATTCATGTTTGCTCATTTTGTTCCTTCGTGCTGTTATTCCTGACCATTGTGCAAGAAAAATATATAATTGGCGCGGGCGCGGGCGCGGGGGAATTACCTAGAAATTTTCGTACTTCCGTTCTTTTCTTTTTCAGTAGGCATTTAGCAGCGTCACGACTTTCCATTTTACATGTCACTTCATATACCCATCTTTCCTCATCAGTCTTTGAACTGTTTAGAAATTTTCCCAATAAACGACTTCTAGCCTGTTTGGCCAAAAGTGCTTTTTTTTTTTTTTGCCGCGAAAACTTGAGGTGTTTGGCCAAGCTTTTAGAAGGAAAAAAAGTGCTTTTGAGGAGAAGCAGAAGCAGTTTTGGAGAAGCAGAAAAAAGTAGCTTCTCTCCAAAAGCACTTTTTTGAGAAGCACTTTTGAGAAAAATACACTTAGAAGCGGTTTTTTAAAGCTTGGCCAAACACTAATTGCTGCTCAAAAGTGCTTTTCAAACTAATTAGCCAAACACAAACTGCTTCTCACCAAAAGTATTTTTGAAAAAAAGCACTTCTCAAAATAAGCTGATTTTTGCAGCTTGGCCAAACGGGCTATTCATCACTTTGAGGACGTAAAGCTTTTACTTCCATTATGCATAAAAACGTTTAGAATATTAAGTTCAAACAAAGACGGCAACATCACAAAAAAGCATTAGACAGCGTTGTTCACTGTCACGGTTGAAATCCAAAACAAGCAGACAAAAATTAAGACTTAAGAAAGCTAACTGCAAGAATAACTGACTAAGCCGTGCCATAGTCATGCCATAAGGGGTCATTTTCCAAACAGGACGGGGCCAAGCCTCTTTACCGATACCAACGGGAAGCGGGAATTAGACCAATAGGGCAGCTCTCCGCCTGTCGTTATAATTTCATAACGCAAGAAAGATCAATTCGCGCGGGAGAGGGGGTCCCACCCATCATCTAGATTCAAAGTCAAGGTCTTGTTCGGATATTGATCGTAGCGTCACTTCCTTCATTGGATGGATTCAGGCTTGCTTGTCAATAGAGAAAGGTAGACTTCTTTTCTCTATACTAGTAAGAGAGATTGAACCTGCAAGCGCTAACCTAACAGAAAAAAACCTCCTCTAGGGAAATGGCCCCGATGCGTGTAATAGAGAATAGGCATGCTTGGCTTACTTAAATCTGCGTTGGGCATGGGATTGCCTACCTATCTAGTTAGCGGTGGTTTTACCAATGTAGAAATTTGGTTGAAAAAGACGCAGGTATAGACCACATAATCTTCTCTTTCTTCGGTAGTTATATTTTTCCAACAACATTGAGTCCTGGAGACTTGGTAGCAGTACTTGCACAATTCGCAGAAATATTTACAGACCTGAAATGCAGATATAAATCAAAATGACACTACTCAAACTTCTTTATCAGGGAGAGATCATTCAGCATTTTCTCGATTGCCTCCTCATCAAGCGTGCGACCTCTATTCTGCAACCAATGAAGGAAGTTCATCAGCCCAAGTCTACTGAGATAATACAAGTATTGAACAAATGATACCAGCTTATAAACACACAAGCCAAGAAAAAGAACTGTACTGAACAGAACTCCAGGAAGTTACACATGAACTGTCAAACTAGAGTTGCATGGTAGGTACTGCAGATTCTAGGATATTTTAAAAGAGACCAATAATGTAATGATATGATCTCCAATAATGCATCTGACCTAATGCAGCACTATGGCACAATTCACTTCCACCAGACCCATGGTGGATAATATTCTCTTCTTTGGGGGTGGGGTGGGATTTTATGAAGATTCATGGATAATAATTTCCCCCTGTGCTTGTCCCGTTTTTTAAGTTGCACACTTAAAACTTTGCGGTGTCCCTTAACTACCATGTAATAAGAACTGAAACTTGAGTCAAGCTTAACACTCAAAAGAAATACTCAAAAAACACTTGGTTCATTTGGTTGATAAGCTTTAACCAAACTCGATACATACTCTTGTTTCAAGTCGTTCGTTATATCACAGTCAATTTATAAAATTGTACTCTGACAACTTGACTAAACTTCAAAGCATTTCTTAAGGGACTCAGTGAAGGTAGAAACTTGAGTAAATTTTATACGCAACAGTGGCAACACTCTCCTCATAAATGGATCAAATGTAAAGCACAAAGATAAGAAAACATAGGGTTTAACATGTACAATAATTTAGGGACACAAGACCAGCAAGAATAAGTAGTTGACTGTAGGAAATCTATGTGTCTTCTTTCTGCAATTGACCATGATTACCAAGGTAAATTAGGTACCTTTATAGATGGGACCATGGCAATAGCTTCCTCAACGGTTTCTGGACAAAGATTCCCCAGGACGCAGAGCTGCCAATGTACAACATTTAATAATTGCAGCTTCCCATAAAGGTATAAACAATAAAAAAAAAGATAGATGTATAAATAAGATGTAGACAAATGCTAACCTCGAATTCAGCAAGCTGATATCTGCTAAGGATTCTAAAAGCAAGTTAAGATCCACATTTTATAAGAAAGTTGTGTCAATTGTTTTTCAAAACGAAAAGCACAAAAAGGTGACAGGGTCCATGGAACTGGAAATGAAAAGCGAGAAGTGAAGCACAAAGTTTTACAATACCAAAAATATATTAATTTTGTACTATAATAATCAAACTGTAATGAAAATGATTAATCTCAGCATTCGATAAGCAAGAATGACACTATGAATCCAACTCCTCAAAGTTGAAATCTAAAGAACCGGCCATTTTTTTCTCCTGTGAAGTGATAACCCCTTGCTTCACATTGCTTTAATAACAGTGGTAGTATTTGAAAATCCCAATGATATTCTTTTGCCAGGGAATGATACCCTGGCATTTCAAAATGTCAAACCATAAAAAGCTCTGCATGAAAGGATTTGATAGAAACATCTTATTTCTTAGGGTTGAGGATCTATAGAAATGATCTCCTTGGCTTGACCAGTCCAAGTATACTTGCTAAAAGAGGTTATACCACAATATGCAGCTCTATGTGCTTCCTTGCCTTAATTCTTTCCTTTACTCTCTCTCACTTTTGATAAATTCAAGAACGTCACTTTTCATTATATATTCTTCATATACACCCACTGTAAATATGTTAATCTACATCTCCAGGTATAATTAGAGAGAGACTATGATGCATATACTTCTTAGTCACTAATTATTTTCCCAAACTTTTCATATACTAAAACACTCATATCACTTGAGACCAAAGTGTGCCATATACATGTAGTGTCTGCAGCATATGCAAAAAGGAATGCAGATAATTTCTTTGTATGCACCATATTTGGAGGATACTCTCGAACTTGTCTAACAGCATCAGGATTCTTGTACCGGCTGAAACGCTTCACATACTGCAGTGACTTCTCAAACACTCTGAAAGACAAATAATTTTAGTGAGAACACTTCAAAACCAAGCACCCACTACATGCTCAAACAAAATATCTAACGGTCAAAAACAGGATATAGTTGATTTTCAAAGAGAAGAAAAATGAACATAGCACACCACATCATGAAATAGATTTTCTAAAGTAGGAGAAAAGGTACTTCCTTTTTTGTATATCTGTCTGTTACATGTATTTATCCTCAAATGTACATACGTACATAATAAAAACTTCCAAAGCTGTCAAAGAGGAATCTCTTGAAACAAAAGAAGTGAGAAAAACAAACGCCAGTAGATCCTCCCTTTTTCGGTTGGCCACCTATTCCCCATAGTTGCCAACTTATTCCACCATTTCCTCAAATTTACATTATTAGGACAGACAGCCCGGATTAAACGAACAACTCTATTATCTATATGGACATAAGAAAAACGTCAATTCAACAATGTTTTACCATTCATAAGTTCTTTAACCGCTGCAAATTCTAAAAAAGATTATCAAAACTAAAAAGATGTAACTTACAGAATAGAGCAAAAAATCCAAAAACAAAGTATTATTCAGTGGGCAGCTCAAAGATCCACAAGAAAAGGGAAATGAAATGTTTGAGTTCATATTCTTACTGGGAAACTTGATTGCTCGGATCATCAGACATCTGCTGAATCTGCTCATACTTGTGTTCAAGAATCAAAGAAACTTCAGAGTTCATTAGACACTTGGCCTTCAAAAACTCTGAAACCAAAGTAACATAAAACATCAAGCTCCACCTACTTATAGCATGTAAGCATCAACATAACAAGAAGGAAAGAACCTATCACTTCAAAGAGACACCAACTAACCCAAATACCAGAGACAACTAATTGGGAAGTGACTAGTATTTTCATTTTTAGTTTTGCAAAATAAAGAATACCCATAAATCATTTACTTCCCTTCAACTTTTGCAGTGAACAAGACCATACACACGGCACACACACACAACACACACGTATAAGTACTACATACACACAAAAAATATGTGTGTATCTATATATTTTGAACAGTGTGTGTGTGCGCGCGTACACTCGGACTTTGTGTGCACACACACACATACCCTTTTGCGACTAGAGGCGGAGCCAAGGGTTGAAATTTACGAGTTCTGAACTTGCGACTGAACCCACAGCTCGTCTTAGTTTCCGAGTTCGCAATTAAATATTTACATATATTTATGGACTTCCTCCTACAAATACAGGGTCTACACAAAAGCTACTAGGTTCACCCGAACGCGCAGCGGATACTCTAGCTCCGCCCCTGTAATTGCGACCAAGTAAAACCTAAAAGGGGAGAGGGGAATTCTTTTTATTTTCCTAAAATTTGGATTGCATTAAGAAAATAGTTCCATGGATTGGCAACTATCTTCATGTGGATTCTCCAAATCAACACTTCTGCAAACTCCATCAAAATCCATTGATAGCAAAAGCATAACATATTTTTCCACTTCCTTGCACTAAAATTAAACAATTTAAAGACAAATCAGTCTAATTTTCTCATCAAATTCAGTTATTTAGGAATCGACTGGCCCAAGGACTACAAAGTAACAAATAAAATTCGAGGGTTTGGGAAAAAGTAAAGAAAGTCAAACGGCTGAACAGAAAAGGAAATTTAATAAGAATTACCGTCGCCAATTTTGAGTTCGGCTGCATTTTCTTCTTCTTCCAAAGACATGTTGAGAGTACGACGACACAATTACACAAAACCTCGCAGCAAATGTGGAACCCTTTAAAGGCAAGAGGTAGAGGTTTTAGGGAAAAAGAGTTTTTGAATATTGTGTGAAATATAACTGTGCATAATTTGGTAAACTAGTCCATAGTACCCGTATTAATATATAAAATATTAAAAAAATTCATAAATAATATTATTAAATAATATATTTGCATTATAAAATAAAAATTAAATAAAAATATAAGTTCTTGAAAATAATTAATGTTGATCTTATTAATTAGTTAGCTCAATCAAGGAATAAATCATGTCCCGCAAATTTGATGTATGAGTTTTATAATCAAAGCCATCAAGATAAATAAATCTTTTGTTTGTTTGATGTTCTTTTAACGTAAATGTTTCAATATTGTCTTAATATAAATTTAATTATGTTTCATTCAAAATATATTCGAGTTTTAGTTAAGTAATATTTCGATTCCCTGGTATAAATAGTAAGAAAAACAAATAAGGAAAAGTAACGTGGAATACTCATAAATATAAGGATTGGGCAAAAGTACCATGAATTAAATTATATGATTACGTTTGATAGACATGAACATCTCAATGTCCAAGACAAAAAGAACGAGGGGAAGAATCGACGAGGCGAGTGTTCTCGAAGAGAAAATCGTGATGGAAAAAGCGTGAGGAGAATTATAGATCAAATAAGGATTGAATCTATAATAAAGTTATTATTGATTTTATGTCTTATAGAATGTAAGATTTTTTACCTAGTTCAAGTAAGAAAATATTTTATAACCTAAATTTTAGTTGATTCAAAATACTAAATGTTAGGAATATATTTTAAATTACAGTTTTGTCCAATGTGAAATCTGTTTTTAAAGGGTAAAAAAAGGCGAATGACATTTCGCTAAGGGCCTTCATGCTTTTAATATAGTATAGATAGATATACAGTTAGCATAGTGAAATCCAACTTTTTTGGTATTTTGGTATTTCTTATTCAGTATTTTGATATTTGATATGGTATTTGGTTTAAGTTTTACTAAAATGATTTGGTATTACATGTGCAATTTAAGTATCTTTCAAAAAAGAAAGAATTCCCTTGTCACTTGGCCTAACAGCCCAACCGAAAATGGCCCAGATTTGAAGCTCTTACCCTATTTAACCTATATTGTATATAACTTGAAAGAAATTTTTCAGCCTTTAGCCCATTATTAAAGACACACTTTTAGGGATTTTATTATTTTCTTCTTTCTTCATTCCCAGCACACTAAATTCTCTCTCACCGCCTCTCGCTTCTTTCTTTCTAACCCACATAGATCCATCATCCTCTCTTTACCTAGCCCCCGCTATTCCCCTCCCCTACCCCCTACGCAGTTCTGCCATCAATGGCTCGAAGAAGGATAATTGATTATAATATAAGTATAAAATTAAAATTTTACTTTTATTTATTCTCTTAGTTCAGCAATTAACTCTAAGCAAGTAACAAGATATTTTGGGTGATTAAATTTACTTTTTTATGTACCGTTTCTCTATGGGTTGATACTTGTTGGTTTTGGATAAAGATTTTGTCAACAAACATTTTTATCTTTATATTTTTGAGTACTTTAATTAAGAATATAACAGTCTATGACTCTATGCACTAGTTAGTATTCAAACTAAATAAACAGAAGTTACCTAACCGAGGGAGAAATATCGAACCACACCGGTTTAAAGTAGGTACGATGTTGGTATAATATTTTAAGAAATCGAATATAAAAAATACCGAACCGAAATATTTAAATACCGTATTGTATTAACCGATAAAAACCCGAAGTTTGAAATGTAATAAAAAAGAACGGGAAGGTTTTCTTACAAATTAATGAACTAGGAAAGAAAAGAATAATCTTACTATAAGAAATAAATATATGCTACATCTATCTTCTTTTCGTCATTTTTTGGCAGTGTTAGGGTCAGTTTACACCCACCTCAACAGTGGATAGCTGCTTCCTCCGATCATCGCTAGCACTAAAAATTCTGTTCACATCAGATAAATCATATTAGTATTTTTTATTTTGCTGAGATTTCTAAATATTACTCTATCCGTATAAGGAGTGAAGTATGAAGAGATTATTCTTTAACTATAATATTTTTAAATATTTTAATTATAAGAGGACTGATAGCATAGTACTTTTTATATTATTTTAAATATGAAATTTCTTTTAAAAAGAAAACTATATAAATTATTGTTAGGGGAATACATATACGCTCCTTAAACTTGCTCAATATTTTAACCTAGCTACTTCAATTAAGCCTTGTACCTATTAGATACTTCAACCTCATTCAATGTGTATCTATTATTAGATACATAGCTGAGAATCTCTCATAGATATTAAGGTGCGTGAATTTCAAACTCAGTGACTTGGAAAAAATGACAATTTAGAACGTGACACATGGAAAATCAACTTCAAAAAAATCTTTTCCACAAAAAAAGTTCAGAAATTCTTTCCCCTCAAACCCCTTCCTCCCCGTCATCTTCTTTGTCTCGACCCGGTTTTTTCACCCTCGGGAGTCGTGATGGCGCCTACTAATATGAGCTAGGCAAGCCAATCATTTGAACAATTTAACTTTTTACCCATTTTATATTCTTTAACATTTACGAAGATATAACATTTAACAGCAGAATTTAACATAAGCGGAAGAAAAACAATAAGCTATCTGAGCATGAATATCTAATACAACTGTTTGAGTCTCGACTACCCAGAACTGGTGTCACAGTTGTTGGGTTTTGGATGTATTTAATTAATATATTAAATACTTAAAAGAGGGTGAATGGGAAATGGAGGGAAATGAAATTTTTGAGTGAAATTTTAAGTTTTCCCCCTTGGCAAATGGGCATTGTCCCATATTGGAAGAGGAAGAGGTTTTTTATGGGTATATAAGTAATTGCTCTTCTTCTAGCTCTTAAAGAGTTGAGAAGAAGGCAAGCATCGCGCCGTCGTCGTCGTCATCGTCGCTCGGCTCGGCTTCGGCTTCGGCTTCGGCTTCGGTCAAATGATTGATTGATTAACTTTTTGGACCAAATTTATTTGTTAATAACAGAAATGTTATTAAATATTTGTTTTAATAACAGAATATTAATATTAAATCCAATCCGTTTTTCTATTTTGGTAACAGAAAAGTAATTACCCTCTTCAATTTTCCCTCTTTATTTTCCCTCTTTATTGTTGAATAAATGGCCATTTATGTAATGACATTTATGCTGTGGGCGTTTTGCATAAACAGCCATTCTAAAGAGTTGCACCTCTTCAGATTTCAGCCCAACTTTGGCTATAAATACAACATTATTATGCTCAGAATTTCACTACGATTTTTTTGAGTTTCTTCTCCTTCTTCTGCATACTTTTAGCATCAAACAAAGCAAGTAAGTGTGATTTGCTACCGAATTTTGTATTCGCTGAAACACTGGGGTTTGAAGTACCACTACACCAGTGTGTAATTCGTTCTATCCTGGGAGGAAATAATCCATAACCTTGGGTACTAGGAGGGGATTAAATTCCTTAAGGAAACACTGTGAATTCAGTGGGCTCGAATTGGTTTTCTGTCATTTCTGTTTATGTTCATTTCTGTTTATGTTCATTTATATTTCCAGAATTATTTTACAAATACAGTATACTAACAAGCTTAAGGAATTTAATATTATTTTCTGTATTTGTACTTACTGTTTCTGGAAGAGTAAAACCTTTGTGGTTTTGTACTCTATTAAAATCTACGTGATTTTAACGTTTGTGTCATTCTTTTACAGAAATGACTAATGAGAATGAGAACCAAGCGGTTCCAATGGTGACTGTCAATGCGTCAACAAGCCGAACGACACCGGCAGCATTGGCACCGGCGGAGAAACCCGGAAAATTTTCCGGGATTGATTTCAAGCGCTGGCAACAAAAGATGTTCTTCTATTTGACTACTCTAAGTCTCCAGAAGTTCATCAAGGAAGATGTTCCTGTGCTGTCCGATGAAACTCCAAAAACTGAACGCTTTCTCGTGATTGAGGCGTGGAAGCATTCAGATTTTTTGTGCAAGAATTATATTCTAAGCGGGCTGGAGGATGCTTTGTATAACGTCTACAGTGGCGTGGAAACGTCAAAGAAACTATGGACTGCGCTTGAAAAGAAATACAAAACCGAAGATGCCGGGTTGAAAAAGTTTGTTGCTGCAAAGTTTTTGGACTACAAAATGGTAGATAGCAAGTCTGTTATTACCCAAGTCCAGGAATTGCAAGTGATTATTCACATCTCCTTGCTGAAGGTATAAATCAAATTAATATTGATGTTGAAAGTAATAATCTTAGTATTTTTACTAACAGAAATTTTATTGAAGGCCTTGTCATCAATGAAGCATTTCAAGTAGCATCAATGATTAAGAAGTTGCCTCCTTTGTAGAAGGACTTCAAAAACTACTTGAAACACAAACGCAAGGAGATGTCCCTTGAAGATCTCATTGTTCGGTTGAGAATCGAAGAGGACAACAAAGCTGCTGAAAAGAGAGGCCGTGGAAACTCAACAATAATGGGAGAAAATATTGTTGAAGAGAACAAAAAAAGGAAGAAGGCTTCTGGACCGAAATACAACCCAAGCAAGAAGCGGTTCAGTGGAAACTGCTACAACTGTGGAAAAACTGGACACAAATCTACGGAGTGTCGTGCTCCAAAGAAAGACAAGAAGAAGGGTCAAGCAAACTTGATTGAAAAGCATGATGATGTTGATGATTTATGTGCCATGCTTTCCTAATGCAACTTGGTGGGCAATCCTAAAGAGTGGTGGATTGATTCTGGAGCCACTCGCCATGTTTGTGCTGTTAGAGAAGCTTTTGCTTCTTATGCTCCTGTTGGACCCGATGAGACGATTTCTATGGGAAATGCTTCAAAGGCGAAGATTGAAGGATGTGGGAAGATATTTCTCAAAATGACTTCCGGCAAAGTGGTGACTTTGAACAACGTCCTTCATGTTCCCGAGATTAGGAAGAATTTAGTCTCTACTGGACTTCTTGTTAAGAATGGGTTTAAATGTGTTTTTGTTTCCGATAAGGTTGTAATAAGTAAGAATGAGATGTTTGTAGGAAAAGGTTACCTCACTGAGGGCCTTTTCAAGCT